TTTTTTTTTTTTTTTTGAACGGTCTCCGCGGAGACCGTTCGAAGACAAGAGAGATATCCGCAATTCGGATATACGGGAATGGATACGGATATATATATATATATATATATATTCATGCTCGCGTCATTTCACGTGCATTATAATTCCATCGACGTTATACGTACGAAATAAAATTATGAGCCGCGCGCACACGATATATTCTGAAGGCGCGCGTTATCGATCGGATGCGTTGCAACTGGCACGCTAATTGCAATTGACGATTAATAATTAACACATACGTCCATAATCCGCCGCGAAATGTCTTTGTGTCTTCTCTCTCTCTCTCTCTCTCTCTCTTTCTCTCTCTCTTTCTCTCTTTTCGCGCTTCGTCGCAACGGCCGATGGGCGACAAAAAAATTTACGATAGCCGCGATATTACGCACCGACAACGAAACCATCGGCGCGGAATAACGCTGCGTCATTTCGGAAAATCATGCATGCCATTAGGAACCGATACTCGACTGCGATTTCCAGCAAATTTCATCTCCAGCGAAAGATACGGCGATTTTCACGTTTCGTGTATTATTTCAATTCCGTTCATTTTTTTTTTTTTTTTTTGTTATCTTCACTCAACCATCTCGATTACACATCTATTTTTTTTTTTTTTTTAAGTCTTAAGACGATCTTAATTCCAAGCGCTCTCTTTCAGTAACATTCATTAGATTCGCGAAAGACGCGCGCGTGACGCAGCGCTTTATTTCAGCCAAGTGCGTTTTAATCGTTCGATGCATTTGCAGGGAGCGCATCTCGCAAGGTTCTTTTTTTACCGCGATCGCACAAACGATGGTCGATGCTTGATCGTCGCGTCGATGCCCCCACCCCTCCCGTCTTACCCTCCACCCTTCCGTCCCACCGCCCGTTCGATCTCGCGCGCACGCACGGTCAGTCGGTGCGTGCGAAATCGCGACTGATCGTCGGCGTCGTCGGCGAGGATATTCGCGCGCGCACGCACTCAGCGATTCCGATCTCCTGCGTGGGCGTACGCGACGACGACGGCGGCGGCGGCGGCGGTAGCGGCGTCGGCGGCGGCGGCGGCGGCGGGCGATCGCGCGACGTCGTTCGTCGGTCTCGCAGTAGGCGACGCGATCTCGACCCGTCAGGATCGCGCGGCGGACTCGAACGCGACGTCATGCCCGGGGTCATGCCGTTGGTCTCCGTGCAGTCTCCGACAGCGGTCTCCGCGGCGAATTGAGAAATCGAGGAGGGAGAAAGAGAGAGAGAGAGAAAGAAGAAAATTCCACGCGATCGCGAAGTGCCTCGACGGTCGAGAGGATGATGACACGATTCCGCCGTGAGAGAAAATCTCGCGCCTCGCACGACGATAGTCAGCGTGGCCGTCATCAGAGTGTAGATTGAGAGATACGTATTGCACGACGAGAGGGAAAGAAGTGGTGAAGTGCCGTGAATTCACCGACGGTGGTTCCAGATCGACGAGAGGGTTCCGCACGCGAGTAAGATCCTGGATCGCGCCGGACCGGCGCGAGGTGGCCGGTAGGAGGGAAAAAAGGAGGACGAAGGGAGGACGAGTGAGTGTTTTGCTTCCGAGGAGAAAAAAATTTCATGTAAATCGGCTCTAACGATATCGTGCACTTCGCACGCTGACGCAACGCGAATTTCCGGCATGCGTTACGTCAAACGACGACGATGACATTAGAATCTAGAAAGAGAGAGAGAGAGAGAGAGAGAGAGAGAAATAGGAAAGAGAATAAACGAAGAGGGAATCGATGCGATTATATTCCGATCCTGCGGGAGCCGAGTAGTTACGGTCGCTGGAAAGCCGCCGTAGATTCTCTCCCCCCCCC